TCGTGACGCTGCTGCAAATCACCAGTGGCGTCATTGCTGCTTGATTTTTGAAGGTATTTTTTTTTAGCCTTGGTACGGATTTCCCGGCTTGTTACGAAAGCAATCTGGATCTGAAACTTCGTGATTGTATTGCGTTGAACCAGTTTATCGTTCACATGGAAACATTAAAAAGGAATCGGTTTGATTGTCTCAGGTACGGGATTTACTAACTATTTGATAACATGGAGGTCCACGTGGCTAAGATCAGTGTTGTGATTGAAGTGTGCGAGACCTTTTGCACGCCAGCCATGTCGAGGCATAAGGGCAACAGATATGGTAAAAAAAATATTTGTTAATCAGTCTCAGTATAAGGAAATGAACGTGACCCTTAGCTTTATTTTTTTTGTGTGTTTACATATTTAGGATGGACGGGAAAATAATTAACTTTGATTGCCGTTTTCCTCTTAGTTCAGGAGAATTTTGTTCGTAAAAATATTGCTATGGAATCTGTTGTGAAGCTGTGAGAAATGGCGCATTTAAGAAGGCAGAGTCGAACGCAAAAAAAGAAGCCTCATTTTAAATATTATATTTGATTAAGCCTGAAGGTTGACGAATAATACTAACTCCCCCTCCCCCCTTCCCGTTCCAGACAGTGTGCGGAGGCGCCCATGATGCCGGCGCGAGGTCACGGCGAGCGCAGCAGTAGGTGACCCTTGACCCAGCGGAAGGCGAGCATGACCTGGCGCGTGTGGCTGCGGGTCCCGCCGTCGCTGCGCTGAGGAGGAGGAGAAGGAGGAAGAGGAGGAAGAAGAAGAGGAGGGAGAGAGAGATAGAGAGAGAGGAAGAGAGGAAGAGGGAGAGCGCTCGGATTCCGCCGCCAGTGAATCCCGAGGACGCGGCTGCTGACGAAGGAGGAGGAGGAGGAGGAGGGCGCGCGGCGAGGGGCGGGGGCGCAGCATGGACGGAGCGCGTCTCTCCGCCGACACGCGCAACATCCCACACATGCAGCTCTTCATCCACCTCAAGCAGAAGTTCCCGGACCTCAAGGACAACGACGTCAACGAAAGCATACAGAAGGTGGGCGCGTGCGAGTGCTTGTGATATTGTGTGTGTGTGATTGTGTGTGTGCGTGTGCGTGTGCGTGTGTGTGTGTGTGTGTGTCTATGTGTGTGTGTGTGTGTGTGTGTGTGTGTGTGTAAATGTGAGTGTGAGTGTGAGTGAGTATCAGTGAGTGTGAGAAAAATGTATGAGTGAGTGAGAGGGGAGTGTATGAGTGTGAATGTGGGGAATATGTTTGAGTATGAGGAGTATGTATGAGCATGGGTGCAATGTATTAGTGAGTATCAGTGCGTGAGAGAGTGTGAGAGTGAAAGAGTGTGAATGTGAGTGTGAGAGTGAGAGTATGAGATTAAGAGTGAGAGTGTGAGTGTTAGTGAGAGAGAGAGTGAGAGTGAGAGAGAGTGAGAGATAGTGAGAGTGAGAGACAATGAGAGTGAGAGATAGTGAGAGTGAGAGAGAATGAGAGTGAGAGTGAGCGTGAGAGAGAATGAGAGTGAGAGTGAGCGTGAGAGAGAATGAGAGTGAGAGTGAGCGTGAGAGAGAATGAGAGTGAGAGAGAGAGTGAGTGAGAGAGAAAGTGAGAGTGAGAGAGAAAGTGAGAGAGAGAGAAAGTGAGAATGAAAGTGAATGTGAGTGACTGTGAATGTGAATGTGAGAGTGTGAGAGTTGAGTGTGTGTGTGAGAGTGAGTGTGAGTGAGTGAGTGAGTGAGTGAGTGAGTAAGTGAGTGAATATGTGTGTGTGAGGCATATGTGCATGAATGTGTAGAAGAGAGCAGAAGCAGTCATGTGTTTATGCCATGTTGTAGTGGTAGAGAGGGGTTCTCACTGCCAAATATGTTAAAGTATGTTTCAGAATGTTTGCTGTGTGCTCCTCAGACTTGCTACCCAGTGCGTGAGTTGTGTACCAGTTAGTGTGTACATGTAATAAGTCAGTGTCCATGTGTTGTGTGCATGTGGGCGTGTGAAGCCAAAAACCCGCCTGCCACCTTTCTTGGTAAATGTGGTCCCTCTCTTGTGTGTCTACTTTAGTGAATGTGCTGATGCGTGAGAGCAAATAGAAAATCGGCATCCTTCCCCAACTACAGGGTATTTACCTGAATTTATAGTTCAGCAGATTATATACGAGACAGCTTGGTTGATAGATCAAGGAGGAAGTGGTTTATTCTCACTTGGTATTTTCAAGTTACCATTTTAGTTCAATAAAAAAAAAAAAAAGATCACCCAAGATTTTTTTACGCTCACTATACACAGAACAACTTGCCATCATAAGATGCCTCCTCTTTTTTTTTCTTTTCTTTTCTTTTCTTTTTTTTTTAGACACTTGACTTTGATTGATTAGTTTGATAGAATGCTATCCTGGCAGACACAGAGTGGGTAACATAAGGTTATGCCTTTTTAGATCAGTTTGTCTGGTTAAGATCACGCACACACAAGGTCAAGCACATAGGGGTGAGGTCATGTATGGAGCGGCGCCACAGGAGGAGGTGGGAGGAGTAAGTGTTGCAAGCTTAGTCATAAAGTCTGCCATGAAGGTGAGGTGTGTGCGGGGGCGGGGGTGTGGGATGGGGCCTTGGGCTGGGTAGGGAGTGGGAGTGTGGGGGGGGGCATGGAAGGGGGAGAAATGGTGTGAGAAAGGCTACTGGAAGGCGAATTAGGTAAGAGGGAGTGAGAGAAGTAGAAAGAGGGAGAGAATGAAGAAGAGGTGGGACGGGTGAGGTGTGAAAGCAAAAAGGTTGTAGATGATGTTAAGATGATGATGCAAGGAGATGGTTAGGGGGTAGAAGAAATATTTTGAGATATAAGAAGGCAAGATTGTATATTGGTGCCTGAAACCTGTTTAGCATTTATTTGCCTTTGCTGTTCCAAGGTATGAGGGCCTGGTATGTCTTTCCATCTCACCAATTTCTTTTGTCCGCAGAGTCTAATATTTACTAGCCATTATGATTTCCCTTTGTCTGCATTTTCTAAAGAATAATATATTAATACAGTTATTCATAAATCCATGTAAGTTGGTCAGTAGAGCACAAGGAATTGATATAAGGGGCATAGTTGTGCAGAAATGAATCCTTGATAGATGAAAATGTATGGCTGATCAGGGGGAACCAGGTAATGCCAGATGGGGGAGAAGGATAAAAGAATTATGTATAGGATGGGGACAATAGCAGGGAATGGTGAGGCAGATGTGCTTTTAGAAAGAGGAAGAAAAAAAGGATATGGCAGGTATATGGAAATAGGGAGAGAGAAAAGGCAGTGAATGTGGGAGAGTTGCAAGAAGAGGGATCTGGAGTGAGCTGTGAAGGTTCATTCTTGTGTTGTGACTATGTTTTCCTTTTAATGAGTTTTTGATCAATTAAAATTTTGTTTCAATATTATTTTGTGCATATGGATGTGTTGAAATTGATGCCCTGGAAAGTCTGAGTCATTTTATCAGACCTGCTGCTGTGGAGACTTAGGTGCTTCATAGTTTAGATTTTTTTTTGCTCCTAAAGTCACAACTTAGAATTACGTTTTCACATTTTGAATATCTAATTATCTTTATAACAATGTCCTTGTCATTAGCATTTCTGAGTGGGCCAGACCAATAGCAATAATATGATTAATATTTTACCCCTAAGATATAGCATATCTACCAATTTCATTTCTAACATAGTATTTCTGGTTGATTAACACTTACACACTATGTTTTCCTGATTTTTTACATTGACTGATATGACCTGTATATTCAGCCTCAACTATTATTGTATTAAATTTATCTCTGATTTATTGAAAAAATTTACAAACCCATGTTATTCTTTGGTTGCAGTATGGTTTGGATCGTGAGCGTTGTGAGGAGGAATTGTCGCAGAAGACACACATCCACCATGGTGGATACTATGGCCCTTGGGGACGGCCTAGCAGTTCCCTCTCCTTAACTTCGCCCTCCAGAGTCACCTCTCCCATCCGGACAGGCATCCCACCAACACCAACAACACCTGTCATCACCAGCAGCACAGCTGTCACTCCACTGTTGCCACACACGAATGCCACCCACCATGTGTTTGGTCCCCTGCAGTCCAGTGGCTACCTAATGTACAGCTATGGCCCAGGAATGGTAGCAGGACCAGGGCCAGTCTACACATCGCCCAATACAACTACCATTGCAACCAGCCCTGTTTTATTCCAGCCACCTGTCAATAGTCCAGCTGGCTACGGGTGGCATCCCTCCGTCTCCAATGGTGTCCGAGGGGCAGCTGTTCAGCCTTCAAGACACTTGATAGGAGGTGGAAGTGGCAGTGGGCCAGACACCCCGTACTCCTCTCGTGAAGCATCCAAGTCACGTTCCAGCACACCTGTTTTACCTAACTCTGCGCCAGTTGTGCCTAATTCATTTGATCCATTCAGTGCATGTGAAAATCACCCAATCCTGCCAGAGCGACGCAGAAGTGCAGAAACCCAGTTCGATGGGAGAAGAGGACTCTTTTATAATGTACATAATCTTGAACAACATTTTGAAAGACTAAATGATAGTGCACATCATTCCCCAACTCCCCCACTCAACAATACCATTGACTCACTTTCTACCCCCATTACAACAACCACAACGACGATCACCACCACCACAAGCAACTGCGTAGACCCCAGCAGCAGCAACAGCAGCAGTGTCAGTCGACCCCCCCCAGGTCCGAGACATGTCTCATCTATATATTTAACCCCTGTACTTCCACATGGCGCTCACCATATTCCTGGGCCTCCTTCAAGTGATGGCACAGTGTCAGTTTGTGGTCGGTCTTATACTTCTGTAAACCTTCAGCTAAGACAACCGTCCACTGATCCTCAACCACCTATTCAAATCCGCAGTAGCGGTTCTTCTTTAACTTACTCCACTTCTTCTCTTGATCACCGCCATGGTTCACGCTCTTCCCTTCAGATATCCATAGGTCCCACTGGTGGCACTATCTCTGCTATGCGTACAAACCTTGAC